AAAAAATCAAAATAAATAAATAAATTTAATGGCAGTCTTTGCCCTCAAGAAGGTTACTCCACTGGGCAGGAACAGGAAAGGAGATGAGAATACAATATGATGACATGAACACTGATGAGTATGCTTTGTATATATTTATTTGTACATTATCTCCTCCATTATATTGTAAGCTTCTTGAGGGCAGGGACTGCCTTTTGCCTCTCTTTGTAATTCCCAATGCTTGGCACAGTGGCTGGCACACGGTAGGTACTTAATAAACATTTGTTGGTTGATTGATTGATGTACTGTGATGGGGCAAAGGTCTACTCTCTCTCTTCCTTGTTTTAGGTGGTGACACCTTACTTTATTTCTACCCAAATGACAAAGCACATCAACCCCAACATAGTAATGAAGACAGCAGATGAGTTTGTTAAGGAATCTTTGGATTCTGTTGCAGTTGGAGCTGAAACTTGTGGTTGCCTGGCTCATGAAATCTTGGTAATTTAAAACTCATTTAAGAGAAATGACTGAGGAAAAGTGTATGGGACCTACTGCTGCATAGCTACATTTCTCTGATTTTTGATGCACTTAACTCACAATTGAAATTCTTCTCTAGTGTTTCAGCATGGCATGGAATTCTTTAGAACATGGATTCTTGATAACAATGTCAGGAAAAGGACAAATTGAAAAGTCCTTCCAAGCTGGAAAGGATTTAGAAATGGAGATGGATAATAATAGACTGTGTCTGTAACCTGAGAGCAAATTTTACCAGTTTCAAGCAGGATCATAGTCAAACAGTTTTCTACCAGGAGATAAATTTTTCAGTTTTAGCAATTCATAAAACCTATCTACTAATTTGTGTAAGGATTTTGGTGGAAGGAATACCCATACCATGAAATCACAGATCGTTGGAGTAAGAAGAACTCATGATTGTCTCTCATTTGTTGGTTTAGATTATAAGGCAGCTTAGTAAAGCAGTGCACAGAGTGCTGGACTTGGGGTCAGGAAGACTTCAATCCAGCCTCACACATTTAGTAGCAGTATGACCCTGAGCAAGTCACTTTACCTCTATCTGCCTCAATTTTCTCAACTGTAAAATAGGATTAATAATAGCACCAATCTCCTATGGCTATTATGAGGACCAAATGAGATAATATTTGTAAAGTGCTTTGCCAGCTTTAAGGCTCTGTAAATGCTAGCTCTTAGGTATTAAAATAATAATTCAAATTGTTTCTAATTCCTGTTTACCTTTTGAGAAAAATGTCACTGAGTTCCAACCTTGTAATTGTGCTCCAAAAGTTAGGATTTTTTGGAATGGATTAAAAAAAGCCATTCCGCATAGAAACAATGTTATATAAATGGTAATTAGTTTCCCAAACCAGTCAATAAAGGCCTGTTTATCTATGATGAAATTGACCTACAGAGTAATGGATTTGTAGTTGGAGGACCTGGGTTTAAAATCCTTCCTCTTACACTTACCCTCTGTGTGACTTTGGGTAAATCACTTAATCTCTGTGGGGCTCAGTTTCCTTATCTGTAAAATGCTAGGGGAAAGGAAAAGGAAAAACTACAAAGAATTCTTGCTTTAATATACTAGCTATTGACTTTATCCCTTCATGAAACATGGAAGTAATGACACAAGGCTACCCAACAAGAGAAGTAAGATGTGCTTGGAATTTTTGAATTGCTTTTTCTTTTTTGTTAAAAAAAAAACATACAAAATTGATTGACAGACTAGTTCCTCATACTACCATTCTAGGAATGTGAGATATCAGTGCAGTGCTACCATATATGTAGGCCAATCTCTTTATCCCCATTGAAGTTTCTAATTCCTGTATCTGTCCTTTGAGTTTTATGCCACGACAAGTAAACCTATAATTTCCTGCTTTTTCTTTCTCATAAACGTCGGAAGAATTTGTAATATTTAGAGATGTATTTTCTCAAAGAAAATTTGCTACAAGTTAAAAGCTGAAAGTTGAATCTAATTCTTCTAGACCACTAACTTAACAATAGAATACTGATCATCCAGAACTGCTGTGTGAGAGACCAGAGTTCAAGAGAGGCTAAACTGCCCTTATTATCAGGAAATTATTAATAGAACTGAGATTGGAACTTAGGCTTCTAATCCAAGATAGAGTATAGTTAATAATGTGAATGGAGAGCCTTGGGAAGGTTAGTCCTGTTTCCTGTCTCCTTACTTCCTCCTTTATCCCCTCAAAAAATCATTGGCCCTCAAAAAAGTCTATTGGGTACTGTTAATAGAATCTGAAATTTACCATATTTATTATGGTGAAGGCCATGAGCTTCTTCTTTTCTCCTCTTCATCTCAAAATTCCTTAACATCATCCCTCTTGCCCTTTACCGCAGTCTCTGATATAATGAGTTGGTCTTTTTCCTCAATAAGGCCTATCCTTCTGTGTGTCCTATTGATCCCAACCCCTTCCATCTTCTCCTTCAGAATGATACCTCAGTCATACCCTCTCTCTCCTTAAATTTCAACCTCTATCTGCCATTTCCTTTCCTGCTGCCTTCAAACATACCTAAGTCCTCTCTATCCTTATAAAAACCTCCATTAGAACTTCCTCCTCTTTAAGTTATCATTCTATATCTCTCCTTCAGTTTAGCTTCCAAATGAGAAGAAAAAAACTGTATACATTCATTGTCTTTATTTCCTCTCATCTCACTCTTCAGCTTTCCCCTCCCACCTCCCAATTTGGCTTACCTCTTCACAACTGAAACTGCTCTTTAAAAATTACCAATGATTTCTTAATTGCTTGAGCTAATGGCTTATTATCTGTCTTTACTCTTCTTGATCTGAATGTAGCATTTGACATCATTAAGCATCATCCCCTCCTGGCTATTCCTCTTCTAGTGATGTTCATCTTTCTTGCCTCATCTGTCTGTATGACTGCTCCTTCTCAGATTCCTTTGCTGGCTCTTCACCCCTCCTACCCTCCCCCCCCAAACTCCATCATTGGCCCTCTTCTCTTCTTTATCTACATTCTCCATTTGGTCATTTCTTTTACTTTCGTGAATTTAATGATCATTTCGGTTCACATAGGTCACACATCTTCATATCCAACTCCAGTTTCTTTCCTGACATCTAGTCACATACCACCTATTGAACATCAAAGTGGATTTCCTATAGATATTTCTAATGCAACTTGTCCAAAAGAAGACTTTCTCTCTTTCCACTCTAAAACACCCTTCTTCCAAATTTCCCTGTATCTGTTGAGGGTACCACCATTCATCCAGTCTCCCAGGGTTACTACTTTGACATTATCTTCTGTTCTTCAAACTCTTTTACTCCACATAGCCAATCAGTAACTAATCTTATGATTTCAACATCCCTTTGTTGTCAATCCATCCTCTTTGTATAGCCACCATCATGGTTCAGGCAGGCCTCAATCTACTCTTACCTGAACTATTGCAATGGCCTCTTAATAAGTCTCCATGCCTCACGTTTCTCCCTCCTCTAACCTATCATCTAGATAACCAATGTGATTTTTCTTAAGTGCAGATCAGTCACCTATCCAATAAACTCCAGTGGCTCCCTATTTGGATCAAGGATAAAATAAAAATTGCTGCTTGGCTTTTAAAGTCTCTAATGACCTAACCTCAGCCTACCTTTCCAGTCTTATTACTGAGACATTATTACTCTTTCTGCTCTCCCCTCTCTCTTGGCCTTCTTGCTGTTCCTAACGTAGCACACCATCTTCTACCTCCACGTCCATGGCCTGAGTCTTCCCTGTCTCGAATGCACTCCGTCCTCCCTTCCGCCTTGTAGAACCTCTTACTTTCTTTAAGACTCAGTTCAAGCACTATTTTCTATACGAAGTCTTTCCTGTTCCCTCAACTGCTGTGTCCTCTTTCTCTAAACTACTTTTTATTTATTCTATATAAACTTGTATATCTATATGTTGTCTCTAAGAAGTTTTCTCTCTGAGGGCTTGTTCATTTTTGTCCTTGTATTTCCAGTGCCTAGAACTGTGCTTGGCATGCAGTAAATCTTTAAACATGATTGCTGGATTGAGTAAATACAGTTTTAATTCTCTCCCCCTGCCCCAAATCTAGCTTATATTAAACTTAAGTGTAGTCTAAATAGTTGAATTTTTTTTTAGTGTATCAGCAGATTCTTTTTTATTTCCAAAGATATCTCATTATAGGAGCACAAATCTATAAGGAGAGGAGCAGCCTAATATTTGTGTCAAAAGGTTAATTCAATTAGACATTCAATCATTCAGTCTTTTGGCTTAAGACTTTGTCCCCTTTTAACAGTGTAAATACTTTTAAGGGAGATACGTGTTAAGGTAAATATAAATAATTAATTATTCATATTTAATGTATAGCCTGGGGTTTCCAGATTTTAGTAGGGAAAGTGGATGAGGAAAGACAGTCAGGGATCTGCCCATGAGGAGGAAGGACACGAAAACAGAAAGTGGAATGGAAAAAGACCAGCTTCTCTTGATAATTTTCATTCTAACAATTCAGTTCAATTTATTCGACAAGCATTTATTGAGTGACTACTATAAACAAGGCCTGATATTAGGTACTGGGCCCTTACCCAATTTGGCCAAGCCTGACCCTTAGAGTCAATTGAAATAGTTAATATGGTATCTTAACGTGACTTGGATTGCTTTCAGGAAGTAGCCTGAAAAGTCAGATTCAGTGTCTTCAAGTGCTATCAATGACCTGGAAGAAGAATGCCACCTATTAGATTCTGTAAACTGAGAGTTTTTAAAAAATCACTTCCATAAACTAAAAATCTTTCACTTGTCAACTTAACTGCTTTTATTTCCTCCCAAACACTAATGTTTGTGTTTTTGATTTGTGAAGGCACATCTCATAGATTTGGTTCCTTCCTGGATACTCTACAGCGATGCATTTCAGAACTTCATTTTGACCCATTACGCGTATGATCAAAACAAAATCCCAGAATCCAAGAAGTAATCTTTGGGGAGGAAGAAGTCAGTGGATATATCTAGCAACATTACTCGTGGTAGTACTTGTATTTGCCTGAAGAGCTCTAGAAACTGTAGTTCTCACTTTACTAACCTGAAGTTGCAGCTACTAGGCATTGTAGATGTTTAAAATATTAAATAGTTTTGCTTCTCTTCATGTCTGGAAATTTTTTTGGACATCTGGAGAGTGACAAAAAGGTGTGAATGGTAAAAAGGTGTGACTCTAGGCTTTGTGTGAGCATGAGAGAGAGGATGGGGGATTTCTGTGGATGAGGAATTGGAGCTCCATCTTAATATGTCACCAAATCACAGAATCTCAAGATTTGGAAGGGACCCCAAGAGGCCACCCACTTCATCCAATACCTGAACAAGAATCTTTTGTACAACACATGCAACAAGTTGTCATCTATCCTTTGCTTTAACAACCCAGAGCTTCAAACTCTAATCCATTCCCCAAACGGTGTAGTGAAAAGAGAAATGTATTTGAATTCACAGGACATGGGCTGAATCCTCACTCGATAATTTAAGAGCTGTGGGACCTAGAGAAAGATCACTTAATTTCTCTGAACCTTGGGTTACTTATCTATTAAATGGGGCTGGAGATACTTCTATTCCATGCTTCATGGGATCATGGTAAATAAACTGCTTTGCAGAACCTTTATAGTGCCCTTAAGATTGAACTGTTTCTGGAGCTATTCCTTAGATAGCATCTTGTTTTAGCTGTTGGGAAGATTGAGCCAGAACTACCCATTTAATTAGACTTTCTTCAGCAAAACAATGTCACAGGGGGCCAAAGAGGGTCAGCCAAGGGCTGCAATTCTTTTAATTATGTTAGAATTCATCAGATGGAGTGGGGTGGGGGTAAGGAGTGGGGGGTTGGGGACAGGATGGGAGGAAGATTTTAAAATTAGTTTCATATGCATGTAACAGTCTGGCTTATGTCACTACTGCCCTCTACTGGTTCAAAAAAGGTGTTTGCTATTTTCACTGGGGACTAATTCTTGTAGAGAATTAGTTTTGTAGAAACTGCATTAGAAAATTTAACTTTGTGGAAATTAATCTCATAGAATTTCTGAAACAGTACCTTTTGGAGACAGCGTTAAGGAGGGGATTTTTTCTGTGCTAGTGTCTCTGTGACTTTTGGCAAGTCAATGCCTTTCTTTGAGTCCTAGTTTCTTCTGTAAAATAACAGGGGTTACATTAGATGATTTCCAAGGTCCTTTTCAGCTCTAAAATTCAATTGTACTAAGGTCTGGTTAAATGCTATTTTTAGAATTCCCAATAAATTCTGGTTTTAGACTTGTTCCGGATCCCTGTAGGTCAAATATCATCTCTCTCTTTTTGCATTATGTCTCTCAAGAACAGTGCCTTTCTCTGAGTAGAAAATGGAGTCTTTGATCAACTCAAAAGTGTGGCTCTGTTATACAATAACTAAGCCAATCAATTCACTCCTAGTGCCCAAAAGTCATCATTTATTCTTTCAATGAAGCTCTCTGTGGGTATGCTTGGCATCTTCCATAAGGACACAGAGTCAAGGTTTCAGTCAAAAGATCACTTTCACATAATCTCATAAAGTTGATCAGTGACTCTTTCCCATCAATCTCCTAAATCAGCATTTTCCAAACTGTGGTGGTGGGGGGGAGGTGTCACACCACTCTATGAGGTGTGTAACCCTGGAAGAGAGGGGCAGGTGAAGCCATGGCCAAAATATCGTAGCTAGATGGGCAGCTAGGTGGTACAGTGGATAAAGCTTCGGTCTTGGAGTCAGGAGGACCTGAGTTCAAATCCGGCCTCAAACACTTGACACTTACTAGCTGTGTGACCCAGGGCAAGTCACTTAACCCCAATTGCCTCACCAAAAACAAAACAAAAAAACAAAATATCGTAAGTCTTGTGTACAACTCCTGTGTTTAAAAATCCACTTTTCCCAGTGAAGACAAAGTTGAAACCAAAGTCTGCACAGTTGAAGTTAATACAGTAAATTTGTTCCAATTGACAGTGAATGCAGAGCAGTAGTTATTTAATTCAATATGCAAACATGAGGTAAAATTTGTTGGTACTTGTTGAATCTTTTTTTTTTTTTAATTTTAGGCAATTGGGGTTAAGTGACTTGCCCAGGGTCACACAGCTAGTAAGTGTCAAGTGTTTGGTCTGAGGCCGGATTTGAACTCAGGTCCTCCTGACTTCAGGGCCGGTGCTCTATCCACTGCGCCACCTAGCTGCCTCGGTACTTGTTAAATCTTGACAGAGGAATGACTCGCTGTCATTGCCACTCTGCTGTACAGGCTTATGACACAGATGAGTTGTATCATTTAGCTGCATTTGAAATGAAAGTATGTAATCTAAAAATGCAATAATTTTTATGTGGAAGTTAAAAGTATCTGTTGTGTTTCTTAGCATCATTCATTTTGGCAAGTATGAATAAATAAAAAAACCTCATTAAGCATTTATGATATGTTAAGCATCAAGGATATAAAACTAAAACTGACAGTCCCTGCTCTCAAGAAGTTCACATTCTAATGAGTGGGGGAGAAGAGGGAGGGAAGGAGATAATGCATGCAGGAGGGTTTAACTGCTAGGTAGGTGTCAAGGCCCAGAAGTCCTTAGAGTGCATGGCACATGACAATCCCTGAGAATCTGGAAAGCAGGGCAAGCATCGAGAATGGGTTATAAGGTGGAGTGCCTGGGCAGGCAATAAAGTCTGGTGCCCCTCCCTCTTATTAGATGGGTTGTAGTTGGTAACTGCTCACTCACAATAAGGACTTCAGCTGAACCCAGTGGGGACGAGTTTCATGCAGAGAGTAGGCTCAGTGAGCCCTATGGATTTACTCCCCAACAGAGTAATGTGCCTAGACAAGACGTCTCTTACAGAGAGGAGTAGCTCAAGCAACGTCATAGGAGTACAGAAAGGGCCCTGCAGCAACAGAACTGTGTTACCCATTCATCGGTAGGTGTTCCCCCTGTGTGGGTCCCTTATACATTTTTTTCCGTAATTGTTTACTCTTCCACTGATGGTATGTATGTTTGTGGGAGTGTGTGCCCTTAAGTTTATGGTGAGGGAGGATGTTCTTTATAAATCTTTATATATAAATTTTAAATAAATCCATAAATTTAGAAATCTAAATAATTAATAAATATCAATTAATAATATAATTAATACTTAATCTTAATAATTAATAAATTAATAAATCTTCTTAATCTGATATTTGAGTAAATGCCCTTACTTTGAGTTAATTGTGTCCTCTGACTGACTTGAAAAGTAAAAATATGAATGGGAAATTAATGAGCTATAGTTTCAGGAGTATAGACCCGGAGAGTACCTTGAATCTTGGGTAACCATTCCACAGGGGAACCATCCTATCATTTAGGGGTACTACAATAACAAACTCTTTTCACCATCATGGGCAGTAGATTCTAGTATCATAATCCGAGATGTACGTAAAGAATAGGCAGAAATGGAAAAAAAGAAAGCAAAAATGTATATGTTAATAGGAATGCACACAAAAAATGATTTAAATAAAAGTTTGGGTATTTAAAGGGATATAGACCAATGTAAAAAATACAAAAAAGGATTGGTAGAAATGGTAGAAAATAAAACAAATATGGGAAAAGCAACTGGAGAAGGCTAAATATACATGGAAAAGATTTGTGCAGGATCTGAAGGAAGGGAAGATATTAAAAATGTGGAAAGAAATCTCAGCCCTTACTAATACCAAAAGAAAAAAAAGATGATTAAAAGACACAACCATCAACCTATACATCTACTTTCCCACCTCTAAAGAATATTTAGAAGCATTATCTACATTCCCATGGAGGGCATCCTCTATGAGAGTATTGATGGAGAAGTCAGCCTTTTTTGCAAACAAAATTTCATAATAGGCCACATCTTTACTGTTGTGCAATTGACTGAAAGAAGTAGAGAATACAATATCCCACTGTGCTTATTGTTTGCTAATTATAAAAGACATGATTTAGTAGAACAGAATGCTGCCTTAAATTCATAGGTCAATCAATGAGCATTTATTAATTGTCTATTATGTGTCAGTCATTGTAATAGGCACTGGAGAATACAGAGATGAAAATGAAATAGTCCCTTCCCATAAAATTACTTGAAAGACATAATTAGAGCAGAATGAGATACATTTCTGTGCCTCAACAATGGGAATTTGTTTTGCTTAACTATGCATATTTATTATAAGAGTTTTTTTCTTTTAAATTGGGCAGGGTGGGAGGGAGAGATGATAAATGCTTGTTAATTGGGAAATAAAATGAAAAAAGAAAACTATAATGAGAGATAACTTTGTTAGTAGACCTCCTGACCACAAACATCAAGCAAGTCATGAAACAGGCAGATATGGGGCTGCCAAAAGTGTTTGCTGGCATAACGGAGGAAATCTAGCTCAGAGTCCAAGTCAAAGAGAGATTCTCTATGGATTGTAAAGTGCTATTCTTTGTGGATAACCTCCTTCCAGGTGCATCAAGCCAAAGGGTGCTGGAGCCAGTTAAATTGGTTGTTGAGAGATCATTGTTAAATTTTCAATGTGCTTGGAAATTGGAAAATGTTACAAATCCGAGTTTGATTTATTGTTTGGTTGACTGCCTAGACTTAATAAAGTGATGGACAAAATGTTAATAATGCATATTAAACTTCAAAGTGTGTCGTATATACGTTGTTTTTCTGTAGAGCTAGTTGTTAAACATTTACCAGTACACCCTTGTGTCAAGTCCTGGAACATTGCACAGCCTCCTCAAGAGAATTTGACCTAAATATTCATACAGCAAAGAACAAATGGTTGAGGAACGTCTATTTCCCAGACATGTAGTTAGATGGACAATCTATAGATTTTTGTCCATTAGACAGGTAGTACAAATAGACAACAAACTGGGTCTAGAATAAAACAGGAGGAGGAGAGTGAGTTGTATTGACTTTGGAACATTTGCAATCTCCTTTTATGACTCCAGCTTTCTCCCAGAAACAAAAGCTCATCTTTGAAAAATGAATGCTCAACATGGTATGGTGGATAGTCAATCTTAGAACCAGGAAGATCAAGTCATGTCTCTGATACATACTGGCTATGTGAACCTCTCAATGAACCTCTTTTAGGGCAACTCCCTGAGATTGCAAAGAACTTGTTGACCTATATCAGTAGACGGTGT